CACACACACACACACACACACACACACTGATAAATAAATAAATAAATAAATACATTTACTGTAATTTTGCGAGTAAAAAGAATAAATGATTAGAACCGTGTGTAATAAACGGTGAAATAACAGATTTGTTGTTATTATTATTAGTTGAAATGGCTCATGTAGCCTGTGTGAATAAAATGTGGTCATTTTATGTGATGAAAATAATTAAGACACAATATTATGAGATGATGAGACAAGATTAACAGAGGAAATCCCAAAGACAAGTCAGGGTCCAGAGTCATACATAACGGAGCGCGCAGCTTTCACACTAAAAGTTGGCGGAGGTACAAATTCAGAAAAATATGCTGCAACGAAAAATTCAGATGAATAAAACTGTTCACTGRAAGGTGGATTGTTAGTTTTCTCAGGTTCAGATGCTGTTTATATTAATAAATGATGTTGTGGATTTCATATCATATACTCCTGAAACAGAACTGAGTCTGAAGAGGCTTAAATGATTTATGTTTGCTGTAACCTCACTAAATAAATAAATAAATAAATAAATAAATAAATAAATAAATAAAGTTATTATTGTCATTAAAGGCCTGACATTCATTGAAGGAATGCTTGTCGCCCACGTCTTTCTTATTATGTTACTGTTTTATTTTGAGAATTAAAATCCTTGACTAATAAAGCTCACAGAAAGGTGTTTGATTACTTACCGTAATGTGACAGTGTTTTAAAATGAACACATTCTGGATACACACAGACTCCTGCAGGGCAGGAGACCCTCATACCTGCCCTGTAACCAACAGGAGCCCATGTTCCCCACATCTCTCTCTTTAGTCATGGGACTGGGAGTATTTCCTGAGAAACTGAAAGGATTCCTACCTATTCCTTTTCCTTTTCTTCCCTATAGGAGGAGCTGGGGACAGCTCCACTTCCTCAAACCCACTCATCCTGTTCCAGCCATGCTTCAGGTCTACTCTCCCACACCTCGTCTTCATCTTATTTAGTTTTATTTTGGAGTTCACTGCCAACAACCGTGTCCTCTGTTTTGCAACAGTCTTGTATTTTTTTACACATTTTTTCTTTTGCAATGCATCAGTGACCATTATTTGAGATCAAGCTAAACTCAGTGTTAAATCAAAATATGATATTTGTGTCCTGTTAGAACATGTGTCAAATTCAAGGTTGATGACTTACGTCAATAATTTAATATGAAAACAGTTTTTATGTCAATGGTAAACTTTAAACATATTCAGTGCAACAAAATAAACACATTTAAAAGATGGATTAAAATACTTGTCCTGCTTGGTTGGTTTTCAGTAACTGTGGTCCTCTGGACAATTAACTGAATCAGAATAAGCTGTTTTAAAACCATAAACTACATGTCTGTCAGAAATASAGAAGGTCTAATGTGAGCAGTACCCAGAACGAACAGATACTAGGGAGGCAGAATAATGATGAGTGAACTTTATTTATAGGTGAGGTGAAGGTCCGGTCCAAGCTGGAAAGGAAGGAGCAGGTAGTCTGGTTTTCTGGGGAGCTGGTTTGTTAGTTGTTTTGATTTTCTTACATAAATCCAGGAAGTGAACAAAACAGAGGAGGTTAGGTAGAATTCAAGACTCACCACAACTCAACAGAAAGTAAAACTCTCTTATTTTTATTTTAATGTAGTACTTTTCAGTGTTTATAAGAGGACGTGTTAAAACACTGGGCCTCATGCAAGAACCTTTCGTACACACAGATTTGTTCTTAAGTTGTGCGTACGAGTGATTTAGGAGAATTCGTGGCATTCACCAATGTTTTCGTATTCTAAGATTTTTTTTTCAGATACAAACAAAATTCACGAGTGGTCCAGACCTGTCGTATATTTTACGAGCAGTCAGTCTGCTGTTATCCAGACTGATTTTCTATCAGGCAAGACAACTGTCAGAATTATTGTATGTGTAAGAGTCTAAATTTGTACATGTAAGTCTATAAACGTACATAAATTTGTCACAACTTTGCCAAATTACAAGTACGAATCAAATTTACAAGWACAATTCTTTTACCTGTCAAAATAAGACATTATGCATGGAACACCAAAAAGATCGATTGCAAACAGTAACTAAGCCAGACCACTGGGGGACATGACCACTGGCTCATCTGGGACCAGATGAACTCTTTATAAACAACAATTTGCTGAAGGGAAAAGCATTTGGAGGCTTTTCAGTTTGTCATTCATGTCATGTAGTACAACAATAAAGTAGATGGTGGATTTAGGATGAAATATGTTATTTTATTTTTACTTTAACACTGTCTGATTTCATTTTTTAAAATATTTTATTC